TTGTCCACATACAGAATGAGAGATTTACCCCAAGTAAACTCCAGAAGGCTCAGATTTTGAGTTAACAAATATCTTTCCTGAGGGGATAAAGAACATTTCCCTCTTACTGATAAGCAATTAGCAATTTTAGAGGACACTGTCAACAAGCCAATGGCCTTTTGCCTGCAGTTCATCACTATAAATATAGCCCAGCTCAACAGGGATCAAAAATTGTTCATGTCTAATAAGATGATTGGTATCTTCTCTCTGAGATGAGTTTAGCTGGGCTCAGATCCAGCTGCTGTATCAGGAGCTGAAGTGGCAGAGTGCTCCATCACACACTCAGCAGAGATGCCCAGAAGTTCACAGGCTCTGTCCTCTCTCTCTGTCACTGCCCCAGACCTGAAGCAAACCAGCAGAACAGTGCACAGCCCTGCAGCCTCACCCAGCCAGCCCTGGGGCTGCTAAACCTTCCAAGCTCCCCCAGCCCAAGGGGCCAGTGCCCAAAACCAGCCATCCCCAAGCTCCCTCTGGGTTTAAAGAGCTTTGGAGATCTCAGTGGAGAGCAGTGACAAAATCCCACCTCTGCAGCAAGGAGCACAAAAGTTTACATTTGGGCTCTGCTCCCATACTCTTGCATCACCCAGATTTCTGGGAAGCCCAAAGTGCTCCAAAATGACCCCATGCCTGTCCTTTTCCCAGCTGCCCACCATTAAATAGCTGCAGGCAGTTTGACCAGAAGCCCCACATTTCCAACACATTATGCTGCATCACCACACACTCCTCCCAGTACTAAACCATCATAAAATAATTAGTAGACACAGTGCAATGTCACTGCAAAATAAATAAATGCTGCCTGTGCCTGCTGCATCCCTTGTCTGGCTGGCCCCTGCTGCCAGCAAGGGCTGAGCTGGAAACATCACTCCCACCTGTCCCCACCCTGGCAGCAGCCTGGATCAGCAAGAATCCTGAGCTTGATGGAGTGGGAAATGCTGCCAGTGCAAATGAAGGATTCTGGCATGGGTGAGTGTGCAGGGACCCTGAAGGAATCCAGAGCAGCACTGCCAGCCACACCAGAGGTGCTCTGGTGGCTGCTTTCCCATCGTTTGCCTGATCCTGTCAACGTCTCTTGCAACTATCATACAAATTTTAAATATATATATATATGTGATAGTAAAAATTCCAGTCAATATATTCTTTTAATTTGCAGCAGCTTATATTTTTTAATGCAATTACTGTAATTTCATTAAATGGCATAATTACCATTAATGCAGAGAAAAGTGTCAATAGAAGGTGTAATTATGTTGTATAAAATCACAAGCACAATGTGCAATGATGCATAATTCCTCATGAAAATCATTGTGACTAAAATTAACTTTTAAATATTTTAAAAATACATATAATACAGTAAGAATGATTTGGTTATTACAGACTTCACCTCCACAACCAGCAAAGGGGGAGCAGAGCAGGCAGGGAGTGTTTGCATACAGAAGGAAGGCTCAAAAATTTGGTTTAAATGCACAACAGGAAGGTAAGAAGACAAGTTTTTGTATGCATGAGTGGGAAAAACAAACAGGTTATAATCAGACATAAAAGCTGAGGTGTGAGCAGACATTCCCCCAGGCACATTACAGGACACAACTCCAGTTTTTGGACACCAATAATGCTGTGTGGAAGTGATATCTCAATGGAGAAAAGGGTGGTGAGGAAGGAGTGAAGAGGACCAGGCTAAAACTACAACACTGAGACAGCAAACTGGTAGAAAATTGTCCAAGGTAGGATATGGAGTGTGTCAGGCACACGAGAAGGACCATACTAAACTATGTATACTGTACTATGTGTCTTTCACTTCAAAATAAAGACCTTTTTGTGAGGTATGTTTCAATCAAAACACAACACACTGGGTTCAATACAGAGATAACCATACCAGGATTAAACAGAAAGAGAAGTTTGAAGGTCTTTTTGGTCTTAGAAATCTACAAATCCCCCCAAACCGTGAACTGATGGAGAAGAATACACAAAGTAATTAGAGGTTTCTCTTGGAATATGAAAACTGTCAACTCTACAGGCAACATTTTTCACATGGGGGAATATTCCTGATATTCCCAGGCAGATACAACTATGTGTGGCCACTTTTCACACCAGACCAGTGAGGAGAGGTAAACTATGAAGAACCCATGAAATCCTGTGTGTGACCCTTTCCTCTGACCCAGGATGTTTTCTCTGGTTGTGTAACACCATTTCCACCAAACCCTTTATGCACAGGGCAAACATCACCAAAAGTGAAAATTTACTCTTCATCTCACCTCCCTTTCAACCCTCTTTCCTAAACCTCTAAGCTTGAAAAAAATCTGATTTTACATGTGCTTCAGCAGAGCCCAGTGTCCTCTGTGCCTATACAATTAACTCAGATGAAAAATCATCAGATTAAAAGCACAGAACGCTGATGAAAAATGTGATTACATTTTTATAGCACAAAAAAATTCATCTACTCACATGTTCTTGGACTGTCTCCTCTCACCATTACATCCTAATAAAGAAATTTAGCCTGGGATGATGAATCTTATAAATGAGGAAACAGAGTGAGAGCATTTTTCTCATTCACTTGTGTCCTGCCTGTGCTGTCCTCTGTTTCCTCCCCCTTCACCTGCCCCTCTTTTTCTCTTACACCCCCAAAAGCAGCTGATGTCCTTGTCACACACACGAGCTGTCTCACTAATGGGGAGGGAAGACTGAAAAAGGAAGGTGAAAGATTCCATGTCCTTGGCTATTGCTGTCCTCTGACAACCTCACAAATATTTTATCTGTCTGGCAGTGGGTTTTGTCTGATTGCTGAAGAAAACAAGGCTCTCATGATTACACTGCCTGCTTGTCCTCCTCCTCCTCCTCCCTCACTTCATTCCCCCTTGGAAGAAGGGGCATGGGTTACCTGTAGAGGGAAACCAAGGGAAATACCAGATCAAAATGGTAATTGCCAGGGGCCTGAGGGACATCATCTGTAAGGTAAAATAATTTTTAAAAACCACATTTTCTATTTTGAGGGCCTAACTGGCATCAAAACTACCAATAAAGGGTTTCATGAACTCAGCTGAAAAATGGGTAGAGAAGCTTTGTGCATCCTCCTCACCTCATCTTTTAAACACCAGCACACGAGGAGTGGATTTTCCTCACAGACTGGGCAGGGAGGGATGCTGCACCTACTGTGCTGTGTGCGTATTTTCAATACTATGAACACTCATGCTGGAAATAGTGAGAGAGAGAGAGAGATATATAATTAGCATTTCATTTTTAGTGCCAGAGCTGAATTATCTCCATGTGAGAAAAATCAGATAGACTTAAATTTTGGGTTGTAGAAGAAGCCTGTGGCAATTATTCTTAGAGCTGAGTATTTTTATTCCTTTCCCATTACCCACTTCCTTTCAGGAAACCATGAGTATTATGGTATCCAGTAAAGATGCTATCAACCTGTAACTTGTAACCTGCTCATAACTCTTTTTCACTGGGAATAAATTCCTTTTTCTGTAGACCCATTTTCCCACCTTCTTACTTTTCTGCCTCTCCACCCCTTCCAAACTTTTCCTAGGTTTGGAAAACTGAACTTGACAGCTGTAACTTCACAAGCACTTTGGTGAAAAAGAGCAATCCTTTTAAATATGTGCTTAGATTCCTGCTGTACAGTGATGGCAGGACATGGACACTGGGATTTTACCCTCTCCTTCCAGCCCCAGAATGAACAACCATCTGATCCCCTTGGACACAATCACAGAACTCCTTTGCACAGCCACTCTTACTTCAGTGAGGTACCAACCACTCTGCTCTCCAGCCATTAACTAAATATAATATATATATATATATATATATATCTTCTGAATGAACTTCAAGAAACAGAAGACAAAAAATTAGAGAGAAGAGACCCTCTTCATCCTACCCACTCATCTGTGTGAGCCATCCCTCTGACCTACAGAGTGAAGACAGCTCCTCTGTCCTTGTTCTGAAGCTTCTTTCAATCAGGACTGGTCTACTTTACCCATCTGTGACAAATACACTGAAGTTTTCCTTAAAAAAATCTTTTAAGTATGTTACAATTCACAGACAGTAAACACAGGAGAAAATCTTAGCGATGTGGATGTTGTATTGCTTAATAAACAATAAACTCAAAAACTTTCTCTCTGCATGCTGGACCACCACAAAATGATTTTTGCAACCTTTAATGACATGCCAAACATTTCAAGCATGAAGAAAATGTCACACCGCAGAATAAAGAGCAGGCAAAATCTTTTTGTGCTTGAGTGGATTATGAGAAAACTGCAAATGGGGTGTTTACTACCAAGAGGAAAAAGGAGAGAGATGAAAAGCAGGATAGGCAGGTGGAGAAGTTGGCTTTTGGTTTGCAGAGTAGAGTAGAACTCACTGACCAGCCTTCTCCTAGTTTTTTTCTTTCAAATAATGTATTATTACATTGTTTAAAAGAAAATGTCAGGAGACATAGTCAGGAGAATAAATTTGCAACAGGCAATGCCAACACAGGCAGAGCAGGAATTGATAACCTGCAGGGAAATGATGCCTCACTGCCATGGAAGATGGAAGGCACAAAACCCATCAACTCACTGAACCACTGAGATCAAAAGCATCACCCTACATCACCCTCTTGGTCACCACTTCCTGCCTTTCCTATCCCCCAGCTGCCATGTTTCAAATTAAAAATAATTCAAAATTCCAGAGTTGCCACACAGTTACAGCCTGTGCATGGCGGCATCACCCACCACAGACATGGGCATCCCCAGAGCTCGGTGCAGGAGGTGAATATCTCTGCTCCCAGCCAGGAAAGGCTGCTCCTCAAGGTCTCATTCCCATCCCCACCAGGCCCAGTGTAGCCCAAGCTGCCCTGCAGCCACAAAACAGCAACAACAGCCAACAAGAAAGGGAGGAAGGCACGGGAACACTGATGGGGAGGAAGGCACAGGAACACTCCAGATCCTGGATCACTCAGCCCCATGCAATAAAAGAAGAAATCCACTTACCACAAATGCTATCAGGCTCTTCACCGTGGACTCCCAGAGAAAGCAGCTCCAAAGGAATTGTATTGTATTCCATATTGCCATGGTGATTTTTTTCACGCGATCAACATTTCTTGATAAGATCTGATAAATATTGAGTGGGAGGAGGGGAGGAGAAGAGGAGTTTAATCAAACACACTAATATTGCTTCAGAAAAAGGGATAATTTAGGCTACAAACGCATGCCAGGGCACATATTACAAATAAAGCCTCTATTTCAGACACATTCGCCAGCTCCTGTCTGCTTTCTGATTACACCCAAACCTTCCAGATTTTCCTCATCACTTACAAAAAAAAGAAAAAAAAAAAGGCACAAACTGATGCCAAAACTAAATAAAACAGTTATACAAACCTACCTTTATCATCATTCAATTCTTAAAATACATCAATGTCTCAGGGAAAGGGACAGAGAGAATGTAGTCTGCTGCTCTATTCTACATGTTTTGGACTTTTCCATAGAAATAAATAGGGATTTTTAGACTTATTATAAGGCCTCTCAATTTTAAAAAGAATAATGGCCATTGTTCTTAAATCCTATGGATTTTCTACATAAGGAATTTAGCCTTTCTTCACAAAGAAGGGAATAAGGCTCTCATTGAGCTTTAAGTGCTGCGAAGTGTGCAAAATCCACAGCTATCATTTTCCCCACTCTGAAGCACAAAGCAGAACTACTGATGCAAGCCAGATCAGAAAGCAATTTCATGTTAACACAAACAAACCTTTTAATATATACAGAAATACATTGAATTTACATGTGTTCAGCATTTTATGCATAAATAGGTTTTGTTCTTGCAATTGTGCTACAGCAATTCAAATCTTACAGATGCAAAAGCTTAGCCCAGACCCAATTTTCACCTTTTTAGAAAATTTGCGGTTCTCTTCAGTAAAGCGCTTTTCTCGGGGCTTGAATGTTCTAATACTTGCTTTTATCTAGAAAGAAAAAATTAATAAAAATAAGACCATGTAGTATTAAAGGGATTATTTCATTTTCATAGCACCAGCACTGCTCAGGAAGATCAGGAATTTCAGCATCTCTCAATCTTTCCAGACTCTGTGTGACATGGGAGTTGCTTTTAATACGTATTTGCATAAAATGGGGATGGTGAGGCACTGGCTCAGGTTGGCCAGAGATGTTGGATGCCTCATCCCTGGAAACATTCAGGTGGACAGGATTCAGACTAATCTGTGTAGGAGAAAGTGCCCCTGCCCATGGCAGGGTGGGGTGAATGAGAGGAGCTTTAGGCTCCCTTGGAAACCAAACCATTCTATGATTCCATGCTGAGGAAAATGCAGACAAGTTAAATTGGGTGAGGCTGGACTCACTTGAGCAGGAGCAGAGCGGTGGCACAGCCCACGATGCCCTTAATAAATAGGAGTTAAACTCAGTATAAGACTGGAGGGCATAAAGGATTGAGACTGACTCAGCCACCTAAAAACTAAGCACTGTGTCCATGCCTCATTAATTTTCCTGTCAACACCCTGGGAAGAGAACATCCTGGGTCAGCTTTTTAGGGGAGAACTAGGTATTAAAAGTAATGTATAATAAAATGAACCTGAAGCCCTTTTTTGGCTGTTGCAATAGAAGCCATGGCTGCAGCAATCAGCACCTCCTTCCTAAGGTGCTTGTAGTTATTTATCCCTCCAGGAATGCCCCTTCTCTGTCCCATTCACCTGGAGGGGCCACAGCTCTGAGAGCCCAAATCTTCTTCACCCACAGCATCAAACATCCCTCCACCACCAGATGCAATGGGGACAGGACTTTTCTGGCCTGGCTCCGGGTTTTAAAAGCATCACCCCCACCCTCGTCCTTGCAGATTTGCACTTTTCTTACACCAGTGATAAGCAAAAATACTTCAACTTACAGGATTAAATAGGACATCCAGCTCCAAGTAAATTACTCCTTTTGAAGCACGTTCCAAGTCTTTATTCTTCAGTGTGTAACAACTTTGTTTACCGTTTCTAATCTATAGTTTGGGGTGGGGAGGGGAGAAAAAGCATCAATATTTTCCTGGCTGTAATCCTCAATATAATTTAAAGACACTGCAAACAAATAAATAAATATTTATAACTCAAGCACAAAAGAATAAAAAAATAAAAACTTCTCCCAAACCCTGATAATATACTCAGAGCCTGAAATACAAAACAACTGTTGGATTAGAGACCTATAAAATTGCAGATTAAATCTCTTACGGTCCAACTTTAATTTTCAGACCTTGTACTTTATAGTAGAGCATTGCACGCAATAACCAGTCTGAAAATTCTGCCCTGGAAGCCAGTGAGTTGATGGGAAGTAATCAGCCTCTGTTATTACAAGTTTAAAATGGGATTTTTCTTCCAAAGTTTAGGAAAAGAGCCACAAACAACAACTTTACCTACCTATTGCACACTCCAGTACACGAAACCACTTCTTAATGCTTAGTTTATTGCAATGTTATCAAATTATTACCCAGCAAACAAATGCAATCCAAAGAAATGAACAGGCTGAAGTGGAGCAAATGCTAATGTAACAAATGTTCAAAATTAACTAATTCATGTAAAAGACTTCTCCCCCCACCCCACCCCTGAATTTCAATACCACTTCTCTGCTCTGATCAACCCGTTGGCCCTATCTCATTAAGTATCTATTAAACAAAAAAAAAACAACCAGCCCAAAAACAAAATACCTTCCTTGCCATTTTGTAAACTATTTGGCTCAAAGCAAAAGCATTCTCTCTTCAAAAATGATGGCAGAAATGTATTTATTACACACAGTGGGATATGTATTGATTAAACATTTGGCTTTTTAGGAAGCAGACCAGTTAATTCTAAACAGCAGTAACATAAAAAACTGCAGCTTACCAAAAAGCTATATTGAGGGACTGTAATGATCAAAGATTAAAGATAACGGAGGAAATTTGGGGCCATGAAATTGCAACCATATTTAAAATGGCTATTGCTGCTCTGGCATTTAGAAGAGGCACTCCTATAAACCATGGTAGAAATGAGTAAGGAAAAAAAAAAAGGTGTAATAGGAATAAAGTGATTTCACAAGACAAGGGAAAGGTCACTTTCTTTCCCAATGCTGCTCCACCCTTTCTATACCAAAACAGCTTGTCAAATGGTAAATGGGATTTCTGCCCAAGGGTTGAAAGGGAAGAGGGATCTCACAAGGACCAACTGTGCATCCTCAGTGGTGTACAGCCAAGAACTCCAGCAATTTCCTATTTTCTCACCCAAAGCTCTACAGTTACAGAGACCTATGTGGAATTCATTTAATACTAATAAATAAAAACAATAACGCTAAACTGATCGCAAAGCACCTCTGCTTTCACCACAAGAGAGCACAGACAGTGCTGGAGCTGGCAGCAAAGGATGCTGCAGGAAAGAGGCAGGTAAAAAAACATTTTGCAGTCCTGCAGCCTCAAAGCAGAAGAGCTGCCAAAGTGATTAAACCCTTTTCTAGGGCCAAATGGACTGGCATCAGAAGGTCCTCAGGCCAACTGCCACATGCAGCATTGTCAACCCATCATAAAGGTTTCTGCTCCCTCACCAGTTTGCTTTTCCCCCCTTTCAAAAAAAAGGCAAAACAGAATTGAATTTACTGAATGAGAACAAAATTTTGTTTGGAAAATAGTGATTTTGTTACATTTTACAAATTAAAGGATAAAGGGGTTTTACTGGTGGCAGGAATACTGAGACAGAAGGATTTGGTTTGAGGTCCTTGGTGCAAGCATCAACAGGTTTAGCCTGAGCTTTGATTCATGGATTCTGCTGTGAAAGGATAGAATGTGCTTTATTCTCAGTGTGTCTGCAGAAATGCAGATGTCCAGTATATATCACAATACCCTAATTCTGGACTGTCCATGGCTATTCATTTTGGAGCTGAATTTCCCTGTATTTCAGGTACATCTATTTCTCATCACGTTTCAGCCAGTTACACCAGAAGCAAGAGCTAGTGGGAAAGCCTCTTTATATTCTTTGGGATATATTTCTTTCTTACATCTTTCAAGAGCATAACCCACAAGGAAAAGAAATGTGACACAGAGCTAAATTGATAGAAAAAAGGAAAAGAAATGTTTCTGAGTGTTTGAGCCTGATACTGTGGTGTTCTGCACTCAAAAAAAATGCTTTGGGAAAAAGACTCTTCATTTTAAGAGCTGGAGCTGAATCAAACATTTTGGGTGTGTCTGCAGGTGTTTTCAAACAGTAAGTTTTAAATCAGCAACAAATAATTTCCACCTCTGTGTTTGTAAATAGGGGTTGCTTGGGAAACTTCTTGAATGGTGTCATTATTATTGCTGCTGCTATTCTTAAATTGAACAGGGCAGGAAGTAATGCAGTGCAAATAAGGTTTTAGAGTCAGATTTATTTGGCATATTTAATTCTAAGTGTTCAAACTGTCTGGAAAAAGGATGTGCAAGTATAACGCAGCCTAGGACTAAACACTCCTACAGATATTTTAGCTTCAGACTTTCTTCAGAGGGAAAGAAGCACAAGAGAAGAATGGCAGCCCATGAAATGGCCTGTCTCCACTGCATTTTCATTTGGATAAAAAGGAAGAAAAAAAACTGAAAAAAGTCAACAAAAGACTCCCTTACAGTTTTGGCACTGTGCTAGGGCAATGTGGTTCAACAAAATGTACAGGGTAATTCTAAGACCCATGACTGCATGGAGATTACACTGGTGGCATGGCTCAACTGTGCCCACAAGAAAACATGCAAAAAGAGCCTTAAATACTCCTCATTTTCATTGCATCCTGTTCTTGGGGCACAGTTCAGATTCTGTTCAGCTTCTCCCCCAACCTGAGAGACAGACAGTTACAATAATTTCATTTTGCATCTATTTCTTTCTGCTCTCTGGGTACTTTCCCCCAGTCTCTGCTATTCCCAAAGTGCTTAAATGCTCTCTCCAGCTGTGGAAAAGAGCAGCCAGGGCTGGGGTCGTAGGATGAACCTCAGTGTCAGAAAGATCAGGTTTCTTCTGTCACCCAAACACCTTTTGCTACCAACCTGATGATGTCACATAGATTTGTCTCAATGAGTAGTTCTGATAACTGTGTCTAAAACTGCTTAACATCTACTTATGGGAAAAGGAAGGGAAGGTTCAAGTTAAATGTGAAAATATCTGCAGGTAAGCACCTTAAAGAGACAAAATCAATATTATTCCTTTATTGATGATGCTTTATATCCTCACTGAATACTAATGCCTGCATTCTCTGAAAGCTTCTTAAATAGCTTACTGGGGCTCAAGCACCAAGCAAGACTGCCCTGGGATTAACACCAGGACAGCAGAGCCTACCACACCTACATGCTGCCTTTTGCAAGGTCACCATCAGAAACATAGTCTGGATTTTCATCCCATGGGAATTTCTGATATTTGGGGCATTTCCCTACTCGGAATTAACACAGAAAGACAAAACCACAGCCATAATTTCACAGAAAGAATTGTGTATTCTATATCACATCCCTTCTCCATACAGGACCAAGAAAAGGAAATTATCAGCTGGAAGAAAAGCTGAAATTCTTTTTTGCAATAAATATTTCAACCTACAGAGGCACTTGAGGCAAAACACTCCCTGAAGTTGCCTCTAACTGAAGGAAATGTTGAGGTACATGAGACCACCATCCAGTCAAGGTCCAAAGTGCACCAGGTTCCTCTCAAATGAATGAATATATTTGCTAAACTCTTTGCACAGATGTCCCCAGTAAAACAAATGTGACTAAACACAGTATTGATGTAGCCAGCCAATGCTAAATCTATTAAGCAACAACCTTCTGACCGCTTGGGAATTTTAATGAAATAGCAAAAGCCAAGATTGATATGACACAAAACACGGAGAAGACAGGACCCTTACACAGCAAAGCGTGTTTTTTCATTGCTCTTGTCTTAAAGAAATATGGTTTAGAGGCTTTTTTTTTACATTGATTTTAAGAAAACTTCACTCTGTATCCAGCTTTGATGCAGATTCAATGTCATATATTGATGACCTGACAGAAGAACGCTGGGTTAAACCTCTGTACATCAACACCTGTGACGTGTGGAGAGGGTAATGGCTACTCTCCAAGGGTAATTCATCTAAAGCATTTGGGACCCCTGATATCCCTGCTTGAGCTCATTGCTGATGCACAATGTCATCCCATTTGCCCTGCATAACATAAAGCTGTCTTGTAATAGACACACACCTCCCCTTATCAAAGGACGTATTTCCCCAGGAAAAGATGAAAGCAAGCCACATATTTGATCCACCTGCACATGAATAAAGAGGTTTTTGCTCCTCCCCAGTCTTGCCATATGCACCAAACTAATTTTGTACAAAATGCTTGCTCCTTCACCCCAGAACTCTTTACTCCAAACGCTTCACTCTGAACAACCTCCTGTGGGATCCAAAGTGGAATGGAGATTTGGGTTTTTGGCAGAGGACTGCTATCCAAAGACCAAAGAGATATGGAGCTGAGGGACTGAAAGAAAGCAGGCAGGGCTTTCATATGAGGGCTTCAAGCCAGTCAGAGGAGGAGCTGAAAACCCTGGGAGCACAAGGAGCCTAGGTGATAACTGAGACAACATCCCTGTTGGTACTTTTTCAGTGAGCAGCCAGTGGCTGGGGGAAAATCTAAAGCCAGAAACAAGACATTGTTTTCTCTGGGAGAGAGGTCAGGGATTTTTGCCCATTCCAAAAATCCTGGTTCACGATCAGGATGAAAGTCAGAACAGACAGCACATTTCACAGCTGCCTCCACTGCGTAAACACAGCAATTTCACTTTTCTCAAACTCTAAAACTTTCTCCTGGAAAGGACTGTGCACTTATGGTCAAGTGCTAAGTAAGTGCAATCGTCAGGTGTCTGCTCTCTGAATCCAGGCCATGCTTTAGACAATCAAGCTTGCCAAAGGCACACTCCTTGTTTTTAGTGTATCGTTGGCTACTGACCTTGCCAGGCACTTGAGAATATTTCATAGACCTCATCCTGTTGGCTGGGAAAAAAGGGTGCAGCTGAGGACTACTCTGACCTGATAATCCAGCAGATAAAAAACCATTCCATTCTGCGCTACAACTCCTCACTCAAAGGCCTTTCTACATGAGGATATTTGATATACTCTGCTTTCAAATTCATTGAAGCACACTATATGCTCCCATGTCTCTAATAACTTGCAGCCTTCTAGGAGATAGGAGTCTCTTGAAGCAGAAGAAAAAAGACAGACCCTCACAAAGACACACGGTTGCCTTTACTAAGATCTAGGACACAAAGGAACACAGAGACAGAAAGGACTTCTTTGATAATTAGTTCAAGTCCCCCAGAACCTACAAAACTTCTAAAACCTATCAAACTTCTTTCTTGAAGTAATAAAGTTTTTGCCCTACTTCTCTGTTGCCCAGGTTCTTCTCCAGTTTCTGGCACAAAAGCTTGCTCTGCTCAGTGCTCATGGGCTTCCCTTTCACTCCCTACACCCCAAAATCCCACCCAAGGCTTGGCCAGGCCATACTCTTTGGGTCACCTCTGGCAAGAGAAGGATCCTTTCTGCTGGGTACTGTGGTAGCACTCATTTGTTTCTTTTCTAGTGTAAATTGTGAATGTGGCTGACCAGAGAAGTGTTTGAGATCAGGTCCCACACATGCTTTAGAGGAGGACAGTAATTCAACAATAAGAACAGGAGAAAATAAGTACAACAGGTTGATCAACATGGAAAAATTACAGCTAAACCACAAACTTCTCTCTCTCTGCCCCCAAACTCAGTTTATGGCTAGCAAAATGTGCATTTATCCAATTCTGCTTTATCACCTCTACCAGAACGTGAATTTTGCAGTTTTATTCATCATTTGCCACCTTAAAACTCTTCTCACGCTGCCCAGCTTTTTATTTTTCTTATTTGGTTCCAGCAATAACCCTGCATCACAGTCAAGGATGAACGGAAAGAATCCATAATTCCACCATCCCTGAATTTTTGTGCTGTAAGGTTATTCCTGTGCTAATGTGATGATGAGGGTGTAGTCGTGTTTCCAAAATGCCAGTGTGGGACTACTGAACACATTTAACCCAAAATTCGGTGTCATATTAATTAAACATTTCATATCCCTCCAACACATACTTTATTCAAGGCAATTTTTCATTAAGAAAAGAATCTAGTCATCCATGAACAATTCCTGAAGTAAACTTACTTCGTGTGCTGACAGCTCACAAGTCAAACTTGTGCATTTTTAACAGGAAAAAAGAATGGCAAAAGCACATCTATTTTCAAAAGACAATTCAGTGCCAGGCAAATATTAGGCCTGATTACATACAGAAATTAAATCTACATGGTTGTGAGGCTTCCTTGAGTCTTTAACTTTTGTTCTCTTTTAGTATATTTATCTAAATGGTTCAAAGGATACATTCAAAGTTACAGTCAAAATGACAACATACACTGAAATTCCTATTTGAAGAAAAAGAGCTTAGAAAATTACAGTTCTCTGTCTGAGCAGACCAAGTTAATAGGTGCAAAATGTTTTTAATCAGAAGCAGAGATGAGTATATTTACACTAGATTTGACTGAAATAGGAGGCAGAGAAGTTTGGATGGGAAGGAAGAAGATCAGTTGGCAAGGGAAAGCATAAACAATTTTTATTTTATTTTTTTTTTTGTCCCAAACCTTGGACAGAGAAAAACCTACACTGAATAGTTTGGCCATTACCACACACATGCACTCCCCTCCTCTGCCTTGTTACATGCTTCCTAAGGGATACTTGACAAATGCCTATAAAATCAACAGAAAATCCAAATCTAACATCTTCTCACTGTGAGCCCACACAGCCTGCTGCTGATCATGCAGGCCATTTGGCAAGCACTGGGTCTGCAGGAGAGCAGCTGCTCCAGCCACTCTCTTCCAGTAACATCAGAGATACGAGGACTTGGGGAGAAATTAACAAAGTGATCAAAAATGGAATAAAAGATGTTAAGAGGTTTTTTCCTCCCTGTAAACATCAAATAATCCTCCATGCCCAACCGACTCTAATATTATTCTAAAATAGAAGATATTGACAACTCGAGCTACAAAAATAGATGGGCAATCTAAAATATCCCCGAAAAGATCACATAGTCTGAGGGAAGAGCATTGTAAAGCTCAAAACAGCATGTGTGCCACTGAGAACTTAGTATTTACTCCTCAGATCCTGTATCTTAGGCTCTTTATATCCCCAAATTGCTGGGGTTCCCCTGTTTCAGACACCAGCATGGACAGCACAGGGTGGATGAAAGCATGTACACCTTTGGGAAGAGATTCAGAAGCCACATTTAACTCACATACACAAGAAATACACATATTTAGACAAAATCCCAACAAAACTGGAACACATAGACCTATTTCCCTACCACTGTAAAGCATTCTTTCATTTGGGATCATATCCTCTAAGTCAGTTCAAGAGTTTTCTGGGCAGTTCATTATTTATTTGGAAATACCAAATGTTTCAGTCCCCCTCTCTGATCTTGACTGGTCCCTTACCTAAACTGTGCTTGTGCTGTGAGGCTTATATGGCCTGCCTTGATCAGATGGGATCTTTGCTTTCCCTCTAGAAATCTTCAATTTCTTCAGTCTCTGCTGGGACTGAGCCCCACAAACCCATCACTGCCTTTCCTGCAGCAGCCAACCTCCAAAACTCAAAGACAAACTCTTGCCTTAACCCTAGAAGATGTGTGGCAGCCTTTCTGCAGAGGTGAATCTGCCTCCACAGGGATGTTTCAAAACAAGACTGCAATTTTGCACTCTGCAGTTTCAATCAGGATCCACCATCTGCCTGTTTGAGAGTGCTATTACCCACAGCATCACACCGAGCATTTCTGAAAGCATCTCACTACAGCCTGTGCTGCTGTGCTTATATATGGAAAGCAGAAATGTCATCATAGAACACCCTGACTTGAAAGGGACTCACAAGGATCCTGGAGTCCACCTCCTGCACAGGACAACCCTGAGAAAGACACCAGCATTGTTTGTACAACAAATCATCACCTCACACTCCTGCACAGGGCTCAACTGCACAAATATCTGTCACAGCATCCCCTCAGCACAGGGAACTCCTGCAGAGCATCACTGCCTCCCAACTCACAGCAAACCCCATGCTTACAGCTAAACCTGTTTACACAACTTGGCTAATATGACACAAGAGTCCCATGATGTTTCAAGCCTCAGCAACTAATTGATTTAATAAGTCACAGCCTAGAAAGTTCTTCCTACACATTACAGTAAAAACTACCAGAACCTTCTGTGACACTGCACATACACATGGAGCTGTTTACGTCCTCTTGATCTGGTTTGCTCACTAATACCACCAGTCTTGTTTCAAAATTAAATCAGTCTTACCAAACACAAAGCTGCTTTTCCCCCATTCCTCTATTAAAGTCTTTTAATGATCCTTTCATGTTCCACTCTCTTTAGCTTGGCCTTTTTTTGGCTGTTTCTGAAAAAGCTTCAACTCTCCTTAATCTCCAGAGCAACCACTTTCCCCTGAGCTCGCTTTGTTTCCAGTTTTGATTTTGCACTCCCATGGTAGCGCTCACTCCTCACCTATTTGTTTACAGAACAAAAGCCACCAGTCTTTTAAAGCACTATGGAGTGGAAAACACCCCTTTTAGGTAATTTCATTCACTTGTGCCAATAACAACAGCTATCTCCAGTCAATCCTACTGCAATGTGCAATTACTCTCTTGGAGGAAAAAGAAGCAAGACAGAACAAGGACATGTTTAAAATGTTACCCTCAGAAGATGATGTGGAAACACACAGAACGACTCAATTATGTTCTCAGACCTACGTGGCACCGATGAAGTGCAGACGTTTCTGAAATTTGCTTTCCAATCAACCAAATTTGTACTAAGATGGGTGGACAATGCTCATTACACTAAGGAGAACTATAAACACGGCCAACTAAGGCATGCATAGATCACAAAACCTATTTAAATCTGTTGGGTTTTGTGCTAAGGGAGGAAAAAAACCGCTTGTTCCCAGCCAACCAGGATACATGTGGTAAAGGTAACTTACAGACAGCAAAGGGATGGCAACTTTTCCAAGGAAATCAGGGGGTTTGTCTCCATCTTCATCAAACACTGTCACCTCCAGAACATCGTGAATATCTTTAATAGGGCTGGAACAAAAAAGTGCAGACACATAAAAAATAATATTCAATACACATGCACACAGTCTCCTCCACAAAGATCTGAGACTACTTTTTTACTAATTAAGTTTGTATTACCTTGGGGTATATAACTAGCATTTAATTAAATTCCCCCCCAAAATGAATCAAATGATGGGCATTCCCCAAGCTTTCCCCTCATGGTTCAGTTGCATAACTAGGTCCAGACAGTGACTTTTTGGTATTTTTTGTATTGGTGATGCTATCAATGTAAAACTCAGCTCTCCAACAGAGAATGCTGGTGCTGGAAAAGGTCAAGGGATGAATTCAAACCCAAGTTTCATTGCATTAAAACTGCATAGTGACACACGCAGGTAAGTGTATTGCAGACAACCTGGATATAATGGGGATAGCTTTGTAGTGGTACTGAAAGGTCCAGTTAAAATGGACTCATCCACCCAAAACAATCCACACTGCTCCAAAGTAAATCCAAATCATCAATAGCTATTAAGGGGCTTAATTCTTTTTATCAATAAAAGGGCAAAAATCTAAGGAGAGATGCAAGTGCCTGACTGGCTCTGCAGATTTGGTGCTTGGATCAGCCAGGCAGCATTAGTAAGAAAGTTAGAGAAAGTCCACAGCTGACGTTTCTGAGACCCACAGGAAGTACAGACACAAACTTTCTTTTTAAATAAAATAAATTTGGATTGTTATTGGATTTATTTTGCTGGCTGAACATCCAACAAGACTCATCTTCTGGCACAGTCTCAGAAAAAACAGTGATGAGTGGAAGGTTCTTGAGAACAAAGTATGAGAAAGGACTCCAAGAGACAAGCATTCAGCTGCACCCCTGAATTAAACAAAAATACAGAAAAGTATTTCTATTAAAGAAATCAGATAGTTTTTCTTGTGTTCTCATCCAGCCTAGTATTTATGAATGCTGCTTTAGCAAGAAGTTCATAATTTTCAAACTGGTCTTCCAGTGGACAGATGCAAATGTCACAAATGCTTCATTGCCAGCCTTTGCACAGACTGCTGCAGTCTTGGGAGACAGCAGCACTCACCCACTTATTCACAAAAATCTTTATCTCACTCACTTATTCACAAAAACCTTTGTCAGCATACAGCAAGATTAAAAAATTGGGCTGCCTAAAAGCAATACCTAAATTATAACTTTTATTATTAATAAAGTGACAAATAAAAGAATACCTTGATTTCCATAAAAATTTAAGCATCTAATTTGGAGCGTTTGACTAGTTTAAATTCAGAATATAGACTAACATGAGCTCTCATTCTCTGCTTTCTTCAAACTAAACAAGGATTCTACCAAGATTCAATGAAACATATTTTATTTTAAGTTATAGAAAATGTAGGCGTGAGTATCTGGTCTCAACTTTCTGTTACATTATCTCTTGGATCAAACTATGACTCCATTATGTCTAGTCATGATTCTTCCTATAAATATCACAGTAATTTTTCTTTTAATGACTTCTATTAATAAACTCCACGCAAGAACTAGTAAAAGGCAAAAGGCTTTAATTAAGTTATATTTGAGATTTCTCCAACATCCTCTCTGACTATGAAAAAAAATGACATATCTTAAACTTGACCTTTGCATTTTCCCAAAGTCAATAGCTTTCCTAGTTAAGCTGCTAAGTGGAGTTGCTGCATGGTTTCCAAAGCAATCCACTTACAATGTGAAAACTTTGTTCCACTCTGGGTTGAGGTTCTTGTAAACGGTGTGTGTTTGAAGCATGTCGTTTCCCAGCTCCAAGACACAGAAAGGATCACTTTTGCCTAGGAATAGGAAAGGAAAACAAAGTGGATCAGTTATGGTATTTAGTATGCAGGCTCTTTCTTTGCAGTAGGGCTGAGGAAGTGCTTGGTTTAATAAAATCAGATCCATTAAAGCAACTGCAAAGTGCCCCATTCTGTTGGAATGACTCGCCAAAAAAAATAATATCTCTGATCATCCCCATTCTGGAAACTCCAACACTTACCTTACAGCTCAGTCTGGGGGCTTCACTCTAATACCTGAAATCTGAGACCTTCAGTGAATCATCCCTCAGTCCTTACAGCAAGAAAGATCTGCTCATGGTGACAATGACTCAGCCACCCTTAGGCGAGCAGCACCACTGCTCTGAGCCAGGGAAGGAGCAGTGCTGCAGTTACACTCCCTGTTTTATCCTCTGCCTAGAGCCTGTGGTCTTCTTCAGATGATTACAGGATTAAGTATCCACATCATGAGAAAAGAAGCACAAGACTGACTGAAATCAGAAGCATGTCTTCAATTAGTTCCATGTGAGCAAGTCCTTGAAGCTATGAAGGCTCTACACCGTGCCACAGTTTAAACAAAACCCAATATCAACTGGAGAATCCATGCATGATCCAAGTATTGTACTTACAGCAAACAAACAGAGCAAACCCCCCACAACAAAAAAAAAAAAAAAAAAAAAAAAAAAAGGGAAAAAAATTCCTCCTCTCTAAAGAAGGATGTCAACATGGAATCTATTAGGTGAACACATGTTCACTAATGCATTTTTTGCTCACTCACATTAAATGAATTTGTAGTTTTACCAACTCATTGCAGCTCAGCAGTTTCCTTTGTGAGCAGAGTGGCCCCTTATCAGCATGTCTGGCTCAGTATGTGATTTAATCTCATCTCCAATGCTCATGTACAGCTCAGCCACAGACACTCCAGCCTAACTTCTATATAGGCAACTAAATATGTCAAAAATGCAGGGATTTAGATATCAGACAAACAAGCTATTTAAGCAAAAGCTGTCGTTTTCTTAATCCTTATTTTCTGCATTATTATTAATGCAGAGCTTTTAAGGGTCTTACTCTCAGAAGTTTATAAACTAAACAGGAATCTTTTCAGTATGTAAACAGTGGGTATTAACTAGTCAATATTGGTAAAGTTTAAAGACCATGTGTATTACTGGAATCTATTTGTCTTCTCCTTTTCAGCTTACATGCCCATTCCCTGATAGTGTGGAAAATGCATGTAGCCTTTCAGAGAAACTGCTTGAAATGCAAACTGGTATATGCCAAAAACAATCCCACTGTATAATTTGGTATTCTGAATGCTATTTTTTGGTCAGTGAGCAAATGCAGTGTTTGAGAAGAACTCTCATGCGCACACAGAAAACATCCAACAAAGCAGAAAAAGTCATTTCCACATCAACAGAACTATTATCTAGGAATATAAAAGTATGGAAGGCTCAAACTGGGCTAGCTGTGGGTGAAGAGCTTCTACATATATGATACAGCTGTCTGGAAACCAGCCCAAAAATTTATGTCCACGAGTAAATATGGATTTCCAGAACACTGTTCGAAACCAAAGCAGAGAGTGTGTGTTTTCTGATCACTATTATTACAGCAGGCTAAAAACTTGCAATTAAAATCTATGATGATAACATACAGAAATCCTAATCACACCAAAATCCAATCTTTACTGTGGGTATAAGGTGGCATTATACCCATCATACCCACTGGGCTGCAGGACTTGGGGGATTTAAGACTCAAGGCTGCTATGGGAAGGGACAGGGAGGGGACACTACCTGCTCACACTGCTCCTCTATTAACCCTTGGAAATCTTTGTACCTCTGATTCCCTCCGTGATTTTCCCTTTATTAGATTTTTAGCTGGGACTTTGAATTTACTTTTATCAATAACAATAAATCTGAGCAGTCTCCTTGGCAATGCAGGAAATATGGCACTGCTCTAGGAGGGCTCTATTATGGAAGCCCATAATTGCTCCACTAATCATTTATGAATGGCTCAGAACAGATAATTAATCTTTATGTCTCTCATTTCATGATCAGAAATTATGCTATTTTTACCTAAAATGGCTGCATCCTTTTGCAATTTGGTGGGTCTATTACAGCATAATACTAGGATATTTTCAGCACTGCCATTGAAAAACAATTTGTCATTTGCTTCATGAATCAGGCTCAAAGCCTGGGTTATTTTGAATATAATGACAGACTGAGTAACCTTTTACTTAAGCAGAATTTCATTCTGTGCTATGCACAAGGAATGTGTATCACATACTCTGTATGAAAAGTCTTTGAATTGCAGAATCAAGAACCTGCGTGACTCTTCCAATGTTCATTATCCACCCACATGCTCCTGTTTGAGTACTGAGGGAGAGGGGGCCAAATCCATCACTGATGCAACTGCTTCAGCATCAGCAAAGTTTTCCAGAGGGTAAATAACCTTCTGAGCTCAGCTCTTTCCACAAACTCTGTCTATATTAAAACTCCACGTATTTCTAGATGGAACTTTTGGCACATGGCAAATCTGGGGCTGCTCTGCTGTGCTACACTTATCAAATTAAATTAGTCAGCAAGGTGCAGTTACACTCCTAATTCCATATGGACCTATATATTATGTCAATTTAGATATGGATTTCTTTACAAGTTACTTTTCATTATTGACAGGTTTTGGTTTGTTTGGTTTTTTTTTCAAATTAAGTTCCTCAGTTCCTTGAAGTACTGCTCTCTGCAGTAAACATTTTTTTCCAATTCAGGGTTAGCAGTGAACTGAATATAGCCCTAAAATAGTACCATGATTGATAGTGGGCTTTCTCCTTTGCTCGTTTTTTCAGGAGCAGCATTCTCTTATGTAACAATGCCTTCACAAAAACAAGAGAATGGGGCAAAAATGTTTTCCCCGTACCATCTTTCCTGCCTTTATCAACAAGTTATCTTTAAAAAATGACTGTGTCAGCAAATACACAACACACAATGCTGTGCCTGTGAATTATGAGCTGCTGTGAGATAGAGAGGGGAATTAAAAGGTCTCCAGAATCCTGGAGAAGATGATAATAAAAATAATAATATCCAGGCAGTCGCTACAGAGAAGTATCAACCTCCTAGACTTTCCCCAGAGGTACAATATAAAGTTGTGGTTTTAAAAGGTGTTAGTGTCCACTGCTGTCAGGACCAAGCACAACCTGAGGAACAGCTCAGTGGAAAATCCATATTTTTCATGGAGTAAGAGCACCAAAAAGGTCATCCCAAAGTGAAGCCTCAAATGAGCTCTAAGAGAAAGCATCACACTCACATCCCTGTTGCTGACAAGCTTTCTCTGTCAGGTGACAGCCTGCAGCATCACCCAAACCCACACAGCCAGCACCACATCAGACACCCCAACATCTTTCAGTCTTGCTCCAAACTCACAAGACACCTGATGGAAGATGGAGAGGCTTTGCTTTGCAGGTGCTCTGCAAGCACCACCGCTGTGTATCAACTCTTATTTTACATATTCCTGATGGGAAAAACACTTAGCATGATGTGCTGTTGTAAAGTTATCTGTCAGATTGCTCAGGTCTAATGGGAAATTAAGATCTCCATGCACTGGACCTTCCCACATACTTTTGGCAGTCAAAGCCATTTGGTATCACAGTTCCCTGAGGCAGGTTTCAGCGCTGGAGAGATGATGGCATGATTCACTTTTCCTTGATCAACTGATCATTTGCAATATATTACAGCATCATATGCTGCAAAACAGAAATAAAATACCTGAAAAATCTGCTGCCATCAGGTCCACTGCTTTTAAAACTTTGACTTGTAAGAAGCCGATGTCCTTCATGTCCCGAAAGGAATTCTTTATACACTGCAAGGAGAAAAGCATAAAGATGTATTTTGCTTGTAATTCAGCAAGAAACAGACACTATGGACCACTAAATAGTTTATCACAGAATCAGTTAGGTTAGAAGAAACCTCTAAGATCATCAAGTTCAACAACTAACCCTGCACTGCCATGTAAACCACTAAACCATGTCCCTAAAATCTACATCTACTCATCTTTTAAATACCTCCATCACTGATGACTCAACCACTTCTCTGGGCAGCCTGTTCCAGTGCTGAAAACCCTTTTGATAAAGAAATATTCCCAAATATCCAATCTAAACCTCCCCAAATTGAGATATACTTATTCCATCCTGACCAGCTTTGAGGACATGGAAGCCATCACAAAGCTTTATCTCCCAACATTTAAAGTCTAGAAAACAACCTTCCCATAGGAGGGAATAAAGCTAAGTATATTATTATCTCTTCATGATATTCAGCGTCTCATTTGCCATGATAATCTCCTAATACAATTCAAGTTTGCAAAGAACAGCATTAGTTTAAAACTCAACAAATACAAACAGCCAAATTGCTTGGGTCTATCTGCCCTGCCAACCTCCTCATCATTCGACACGCAACTACTCCATTTCACAGTTTTCTTTGGTAGGGGACAGGTCATTATGACCAGAGAAATTTATTTTTTTCTGCAATTTTGACTATTTCAAAACCAAAAAATAAAAGGAAAAAAAAAAAAAAAGAAAAAAAAAAGAAAAAAAAAAGAAAAAAGGAAAAAAAAAGAAAAACTCACATAACGCTGAGAAATCTGCTGCCGTTCATTGGGGTCTCCCAAGGGACAGACACACAGATCAGAGATAGACACTCCTGTACATGGGGCAACAGAAATCAGCATCAGCAGGGACCCTGGGTGTTTCTCCAGAGGCAGCTCCAAGCAGTTGCTCTGCTTTTCTGGCAGGGCAGTAATGTCAACGTGGCACCTGGAACAACATTGCCAAGGGTTAATAAGGAAAAAGAGGTGATAAAAAAAAAAATAAAGCAACCAAAACTTTCTGCTTCTTCAGTGCAAAAAATAAAAACATTCCAAAATTAAACTAGGGAAACCAATTAGGCAGATTCTATTGCACTTACTGTCAGATTTTGCTTTTTGGTCTGTCTGCTGGTAAGGGCAAGTAAAAGGTTTGGGCTGCAAGTACAGGAGGAAAACTTAACTCTGGCCTGCCTCACTTCCCCTCTAAAACCCCCCAGCGTTTTGTGATGGATTTGAAACACAATTCAATTTCACCTGGGGGAAAAGAAAAGGGGCAAATGCAAAATTTAAAACATTAGCCTAAAATAGATTAGATTCTTTAAAGTCACATACTCCATTTTATGCTACATTATACTGTATGCCCCAATCTCTTTTACAAGCTTTACTAGAACTACACTTTCAGTGTACTGTTATATTTCCCAAAGGGAAGGATTGTCTTAAAAGTCCCCCTACCCACTCCTTGCACATTATATGTATCATTAACCTGATACTTCCCCCAAAAATAAAAATGAAGAGGATAAAAGAGAAACATTCATAAAGAGACAACAATAAAATATGAGTATGGGCTAAAGCAGAGAGATCACCAGGCAGCCAGTTACACACGAAGGGAGTGGTTAAATGCAACAAAAAGTGCAATCACTTGGCTCAGCTCAATGCTTTCTATTTAGAAGTCCAGTAAATGGAGTGGAACTTTCTTGAACCTCCGTGGGGCTTGGCTCGTAAGAACAGGCTGAGCAAAAGTTACAGATGAAAAAAGGGTAAAAACCAAAACAAAACAAAAGAAACAAACAAAAAAAAAAAAAAAAGAAAAAAAAGAAAAAAAAAAGAAAGAAAAAAAAGAAGGAAGGAAAAGGTTTGCTGCCACACTGCAAGAGGAGGAACATTCCTTAAAGGGATGGGCAGTGGCTGATGGAGAGCGAGAGGTTTTGCTTCACTTAATGCCTGCCGACAAGTTTTTATTTAAACTAAACTTGTTAAGGTGTTGTCTTAATAGGCTAAAATTCCACAGGGTTCCCCCAGGTGTGTTTCTTCTGGGTAAATGGTGCATGTAGTGTTCCTGATTGATCCCATTCCAGTAGTAGAGCTGGAGCAGTTTATGCCCATCTGCTATAAATTGCATGCTTTCCGCTTCTTAACAGCCTATTTTCTGTGAATGCTAAAGGGGGTGAAAAAAAAGAGGAAAAAAAAAATCTCAAAACATTTCAGCCTGAGAACCCAAGAAACCATGTTATGAAGTAAAAGCCACTGCTCTGATGAGTTTCTAAGCTGTCCAGTAGCTCTGTGTATTAAAACACAACTCCTTAAGCTTCCTCTGACCACAATCAACGGGAATGACTTTGCCTTAAGTGTGCTCTTTTCTCTCCACTGCTCTGGAGGTACAACAGGTTTCAAGTTTACTCTTATTAACTGCTTTCAAGTGCTTTGAAAGAGAAGGAAAATAAACCAGGCAGAGTACCAAGACGGCTCGGCGTGTAGGCTGCCTCTCAACACCATTTCCAAGTGTGAGAGGTTGCATTTAAAGCTCACTGCTACACCTAGACTCTTCAGAAAAATATGACAGGAAAACTTACAGCAGGAAGGAAAACAAAACAACAACAAAGAGAGAGAAAAAGACCTTATTTCTTTCTGAGAAAAAGCCCTTATCACTTCCACACTGGAGGTCAACATCACCTTGGCTGCACTGACACCACCGTGTCTCAGGCTGCAGCAATTCCAGTGATACTTTGGGTATCAGCACAAAAAGGGAGATGTATCCTTATCTTGGAGTTCAGTTTTTTGTTTTGGTTTGTTTTTGTTTTTTTTTTTTCTAGATGCAGAAACTAAAGGAAGGAGAGGGGAAATCTCAAGGTCACCCAGCTGCTCTGTGGTTCAGCTGGCAGGAGGGACCATGTCTCCCACATCAGCATTTCATACACCACCCACTCAATGCAGTCCACAAAAAGCTGGGAAAAGCTGCAGTTGATTTTTTATGTTTAAAACTTTCCATGGACTAAGACAGAAAACACAACTTGCTCAGACAAGAGCATCTCCCACCAATAGATAACCTCAACCTCCATCAGATGTCAAAGGCAAAGTTAAATATAATTCTATTCTGTTTTGGCAAATTGGAATTGCTTCTCTTCTTAAAAGAATTTGATTTGCATAAGGTTAAAGAAAAGATGGAGTACAAGGGTGTGGAGGTCAGAGTGATTCACATGTGGAGGGGAAAACAGCAGGAGGTGGAGTGTAAATATTTCTTCCTCAAATCATGTCTGATTTCTGTGCAAACTAACTTTCCTTCAAACATCTGTGTTCACTCAAGGTATGCCTATATTTTCTTGTGAGAAAAAAAAAAATCTTGTGAGAAAAGAAAATCCACGTTTGCACTGGCAAAAGGTTTAAGAAAAAAAGACACTCTGTTTCATTTAGGTTATAAAATCAGACTGCAGAGAATGCAGCCTGGTAAAACAATTAGACATTCAATTTACTATATAAATTCAGCAATTTCCACACTAACACTTCTACACTATTAAAACGAGTCTAATGATTTCCAAACTACTTCCCTCATTCTTGCGAAACAGAAACTCTTCCTTTCCATCTTTCTCAGCCTTTTATCTGCAAGATCTTACTACACATAATTATTTCACAGGAAAGTGGTAAGAGGCTTGTGATGGGCACAGAATCAAACTAATGGAGGTAATCCACTTTTGTTTAAAAGTTGCCTGCTCTGAATGCAAAGGGCAAAACTCTCAGAATTTGTAATTTAGGTGATAAAAATGATCTCCTGAGTTAAATTCTCAACAGTAATCCTGTTTTAGGATAGAACAGCTCTGCTTGTTGTCATCTTTTGCTATGTTACGTATTAAATTCAGACATAATCTTTCACACAAGTGGCTACATGCACAATCTATAGGGGCTGCAGTTCTGTAAGTTAAGACTGCATTGTGCACACAACTGTATCACTTTCCCTTCTTTCAACCACAATTAATTAAGTGCTTTCCTTCCTCCTCCTGATCAGTATTGAGGTCTTCATCTCTATATTAGCCTCTAGTTGTGTACAGATTTAGTTTTCATTTAAGACTGTTCTTCTGACTTAAAGCCCTCACCTATAGTTTCCTTTTTCCCCCATTTTTAACTAATTTTGTAGAGAAATAGTACTTGAGAAGAATACACAGCAAATCTGGGATTAAAATATTTGTTTATCTGTTAAAATTTCACTGAAAGGTGCTGAGGCTAACTTCTTACTAGCCATGAAGTTGTATTTCATTTTCCCAATCACAGTTAATCAAATTATGACAGGAATATTTAAATATATATAAATAAATATGAAAAAAATCTGTACACAACAGTACACTTTACCCCCTGCAGACTTCTTGAAATCCCTTCACAAAAAAGATCAGAATCATTAGAGAGTAGAGACAGATGTATCTGTGATTAATAGTTGAAATTTCAAATGCCACAGGTGTCAGGGGAACAATTAGTAAGGTTTTATTATGACTTATTCAACGGACAAATTTTGTTTTTTCTGATTCATCCTACAGCCTGGTGAGATTTAAGTGAAGGTTCTGGTTGCAGCCATAATGGGGATTTTACTGCTCCATCCCAACAGCACAGCCTTTAAAACACGGGGTGTTTCTTACTGCAAAGACAGTTTCCTGGAGGCATTCATCATAAAGATATTGGATGCACTCCAGTCTCAGGGCTTAAGTTTAGCAATTTTTGTAAAATCTCTTTCTTGAGGTAAATATGTGAAGGAAAACCCTTCAATGTTCTGCAGCATCTCTTTTTGCAGAACATATCCCCTAACGCAGAAACACTCTCTAACAACCTGGCATAAACAATTTAACTCTGCCTGGACAAATTCTGCACACGTTAACACCTTTGTTTATTCATATACATTAACATCCTCTCCTGTTTATAGCGTGCCTCTTCTCCCAAAGGACACAAAAAGCACTCAATAAACGTTACTAACAGTCCTGTGCAGACTAAATAGAGGGATTATTTCAGCCAGCACCAAAATGCAGCCAGCCCTCAGTGTCAGAGCCTGCAGCTGAACCACTCAAGGCTGTGGGATTTTAAGTGAGGAAGAGAAATTGGACCCAGCTGAAACTCTGAGGAGACTGCAGGTAGGCTGAATGTAATAATTTAGCTTGTGATGTGCACTGACAGTGAGGGTTTGTTTTGTGATAGAAGGGTGACATGAAATGTTTCCTCACTAATTCAGAAGCAGACAAACACCCCAGGTGTTTGTGCTCAGCACCAGAGGTCCAAGGCATTCCTTATTCTACATGTTCCATGCTCTCCACAGACACTTCAGGTCCTATTTCAAGAACAATATTTTACCTTGAAAACAAATTATGCCTGGGAGAAGAACCATATTCCAGAGTCTTAAGGCATCCATGCTATCTGAAATCCTGTGTCTAACGGAATTAATAAGAGTCTTTGTGCTACAAAAGTTTATCAGATTTGACTCTGACTGATGTGACCACCTCCAACTTCATTTAAATATTAAAAACATGCATATATTTAAAGGTTTAACCAACGCAGTTGGAGGTTGAGCAGGCTGGAAGGGACCATAATGAATTCTAACTCTATTCATAAATTGACCACAAAATTATTAATTCAGATCCAGAAAATTTTGTTTTTTTCCTTAAAGCCATGCAAATTATTTGAGGGCAGTTGGCTGCACTGCTGTGTGTAATGACCGAATATAACCCACAAATATTTTACTAAAGAATATTTCTTACAATGATGTTGTGAAATCCAGAAATCTCAAAACTCAACTTGGAAATCATGGAGACAATAAACACAGCACCTCATAATGCTGTTTTTCCAACAGAATCCTTCTCCAGATTAGACAGCATTTGAACCCTTCATAAAATATTATTTATAGGGTGTCAGAAAGTTTCTACACCGTAAAAACAATACTTGTTATTATGCACTTGGTGTTTACCTATTCTTGCAATTGCTCTTCAAAAACTAGTGTGTTTTTTCCCATTTTGATGCTACAGCCAATTTGCTGTGCTTAAGACAACAAAAGCAAAAAAATTTTTCTCCACATAGACATCAAAAATAAATTTTAACATGCATGGAATCAGGGAATTGTTTGGGTTGGAAGGGATCTTAAAGATCATCTTGTTCCAACCCCCCTGCCATGGGCAGGGACACCTTCCACTAGACCAGGCTGCTCAGGGTCCCATCCAACCCAGCCCTGAACACTTCCAGGGATTTACCCTGGAAGTTGTACCTTTTCTTTAAGGTAAATCTACCACACAGAACTCACCAGTGCTGAACAGAATAAGCATTCCACTGATTTTTTTTGCCACACTAAACACCACCTGCCAGAAACCAGTAGGAAAAAAAGTCGGGAGAAGCCTAGGGAAAAATTAAAATAAAGGGGAAAAAACCTCAGGAAGAATTGCTCCAGCATCAGAGACTGACCTGAGGCAAGCTGCAAACACTGCTTTATTTCTTAACTCTAAACAGAGTATCAGAAGTAATGGAAGTAACTGTGAGAATGGAAGGAACAGATTCATCTTCAGCCACTTCTCCATGTGATGAGCAACAGCACTCAGCCAGAAAGAATTTCCTGCTCTGCAAAACCACAAACATTTGTAGAGCCAAAGGGCATTGTTCTTCTCAGTGAATAGTCTCAAACTATTTGAATGCCTAAAGTTAGAGAATGTTCTTATGAGTTTCTGCTATTTAGTCAGCACATTGTGAAACCCTGGCCAGGTGAGAGCAGCAAACAACTGCAGGCAGGGTCCCCACCCTCAGGAAATTGAGAGTTGTGGCAATGATCCTGCCAGCAGATGAGCTGGACAGACCAAAGGGGGTGTCCAGTGGAGTGAATGCTTCTTGGTGCTGCTGCATGTCCCCAACAGCAAAGATGTTTTTTGGGGAGATGGGTCCACAGGACAATGCTGAAAACCAAAGCAAGGATGAAAGAGGGAGGTACTACTAAGAAAACAGCACTGAACAAATTAAGACAGAGTGGAATGGAATTAAAGAATCTTACAAGAACACAGCATGGAAGTGCAAACAGAAAAAAAGGGACACCACTCTCAAAAGGAGCACAAAATCCCTGGGGTGGCACCAGCAGAGCATATGTAACAATGTGGAGCAATATCACCAGAAAAATACAGAAAAATCCTGCCTGCTGATGCCACTGAGCTCCCACAGTACTTCAGGTTTTAGAGGCGGCCTGGATGTCTCTGCATTCAGATTTTGGCTAGTCGATTACCACTAATAGGTTTTAATATACATAATGCAAACATAACCTAGACATGGCTGAAATAAGGACAGAAAAAATACATTATGATGCTTGTAATAAAAAAAAAATTGATTAGTTCTAAAAAAATAATCAAAAAAACTTTATTTTTTGTACTTAACCCATTCCCCCCTCAAAAAAATATAAAATCTAACTCAAACCCAACTTACCTTCCCAAAAGCTCCTCGTGCTTTTTGTTATCCTTTCTCCACACCTCAATGTCCAACATATCCTTCCTGTCAGAGAAGTAGTGAAAATCAAACTGTTCCCTCCACTGAGGATTTGCACTCTTACACAGTGTCTAGAAAACATGCAGTTATAACATTTACTTTTCTTAAACAGTACTTATTTTCACAGTAAATCAAAAAGAAGAAAAAAGAAATCAATTCTACAGAACAAGGCTGGATGTTAGAGCATCAAGTGCTAATGTCATTCCAACCAAAGATCCCCAGCCCATTACATACAGTCTCATCTTCCTAAATATTCTCTTTCCTCCCTCTCAATAACAATAAATATACAATTGTTATCTGAACGAATGGCTGGAAAAATTCCAAAATACAAGGTAGATCCCACCAGCTCCATGGTCATCATTCACCATCATACACTGAAAGAAATCAGGAATAACCCTTTTGAGGACAATCACCTGGAAACAGGTTTGAATGAATTAAGGAACCCAAAACAGTGTTTTTTCACCCTTCTGTGTTAAGCAAACAGCTCAGCTTTGCAGATTCACAATACATCTATGGACCATTAAAGAGACACATAAAAAGGGATTGTAATGGGAATAACATCTATCTATTTATTCTAAAGTAACTAAACCATTTGTTATTTTTCAAAACTACTTTTCTAAATAAAAAACATATCATGACCTTGGTTTGAGGTCTGATGTGAGGGACAGAGTGCAGGTTTCAGATGCGCCTACATCCAAATGTTATGTTCTGTGAACTTGCTCTGTACATTTTGTACAGGAGGAGGTTTGTTTTCTCCTCCTCTGCACTTCCAGTTCATGACATGCAGAGCTCTTGCTCTCTCAAAAGAGTATTATTTTAATTATAGCCTTTCTTCTTATTAGACTTTCCAGATGAAATGTGTATCTTTGGGAACCTCATTAATTTCTTAGACTCTTATATAACTGAACTGTATACAGATAAACACAGCCTAGCAGAATAAAAATTGATATCAAAACCATGGAACATTTTATCTGTTTGGGGGGCAGGTTCTGCAATATGTAACATATTTGTCAAGAAAAGTACTTTAAAAGAATAATAATTCCCCTGCACTGGAAACCATTTCAGGTCTACTTTTCCAGCACTGCAAGCTCAACTTCTGTATTGGCAGAGTACAAAACACATGTGTGATGCATGTAGCTTTATTTCATTTCATATTAATATCAAACATCCATCAACATGATGAGTATGTTAAATGCACAAAACACTGATAACACACAATATTCCTAACTTGCTCTTTCTCTACTGGCACCAAAACAGAGCAAAACATTAATGCTTCTGGTGTGGTCTCCTGATTTTGAACTCGCTTATCAAAGAGAGCATCAAGAATAGTTCCATCTGAGGTAGCAACACCAGTAAAAGAAACACCAAGCCCCTTACTGACTTCAGACAACTTAAGGAAATCCTTAATACTTACTTTGCTCTTGTATCTTTGGTCCCCCAGTTTGAGGAGAATAAAAATCTCTGCCAAGCCCCCTCTGGGCATGTTCTTGCCCTCCAAGAGGGTGATGGTGACCAGCCCGTTCCACAGCTGGTTCTTGCGCAGCGACTCCGAGAGCCGCAGGTTCCGCGTGAAACTCGACTGAAAAGCAAGGACAACATGGAATATTTCGAGACCCAAACACATTTTCATGCTCATGTTAACTCGACTGAAAAGCAAGGCACAACACAGAATGTTTCAAGACCCAAACACTTTTTCGTGCTCACGTTAAGTGAGCTATGAAAGCACACCAGGAGTGAGAGAGACACTATGCTTCCCCAAGGGTAAGCAGGCAATGGAAGGCAGTAGGATGTTATGGATTTTCTGCCCAACTGTACTACAGTCCCTGTGAAGGGACAGTGCTCAATGTCACAGCAAAATCAGCAGGGCTTGCTTAAACCACCAGAGAAGTCACCTTCAGCTACCCTGCCTGAGCTCTGGAGAGAGCAGACCGGTACCTTGGCTCAGGGAAAGGCACGGGAGAGCCATGGGGAACAAAAGAGGGGAGAAACTAAAGTAAACTCTTAAAACCTCTCCAGCTACATCCATAAAAAGCAGGTCTGTCCTTTCTGGGGAGGCAGCCCAGGATCATCAAGTCCACGGCCAGGTGAAAGGCTGAGCAGCATCTTCCACCTCCTCCATCACTCAGCCGCCCGCCTTAGCTCTTTGCTAACTTTGCTCTTCCTGCTTCCAGAAACTGAGGCCACGAATCAAAAATACTGATGCCTGCTGAAAAAACACTGACACCACCAAGCTCTTTATCTGGAGTTATGGTTACCTGGTAGCCACATTTGTTACCTTCGCAGCTTCATCTTGTGCAGCACGGCTGCGCTAACAGTTTGCTAACTGGCAATATTTTATTGGACAGAGGATGATTAAATAGGCCTTTATTTGGGGGGAGTGAGCTGGAAACATTAAAACTCAAGGCTATACTCTTCTTCCTGCAGTAAAAATCCTGCCATATTTTATTCTCCTGAAGCAACTTTTAACTCGCCACACTTTGGAGCTTCAATCATGTCATGTACAGGTGGGAGCAAGACGGAGGAGAAGATTTCACAAGTCACTTTAAAACAGGACGTGTTAGCTTTAAAAGCAAGTAAGAAATGTTGTTGCTAAATAAAACGATTGCAAAAGCACCTGATGTCTGAAGATTACTTTTTATGGATCAATTACCCAGCAACAAAATTCTTAAATCATAGGTGGTGAACTCACAAATTTTTTACTTGCTTTTTACTGGTTAAAACACTGAATTCTGAATCCCACAAGCATATTAATATACTTCTATTTAAACACCCCGTTTGGCTTTCCTGGCGCAACGGGTAAAAATTCCTACCTTTAAAAAGAAAACGAGATTTTGATTCATAAATCCAGCTGCAATGTAATTTCTTTTCTCTTCTTTTTTCTTTTTTTTAAAGTTCATCTTTTGGGCCAAAAAGCTAAAGCATGACTGTTCCCATGGACATACTTCAAAGTCCCAGCAGATATACTCCTCCCTAAACACTGCAACTATTTCAAAATCCTTTTTATAAAAAAGGGAGTAATGTCCACAAGGGATCAAAGGGCATTCTACAGTCTGGCAATCGCCTTAGAAAAATGGCAGTGCTTCCATGAAATATGCCCTAAAATAATTTTGCAGCTTGGTATGTCCTAATTTCGAATTGGATGTTTATCTTGGAAAGGCTTCTATCTAACTTGTCCATAAAACAGCTCCACTTAGCTCTATGAGCCCTGTGAAAATGGAATCCAAAGCTGGCTATTAAGGGGGCCTGGAGATTGCTTCCATATGGCGTAACAGCATGGGAGTGGAGGGCTAAGGCCTACAGCAGGCGCTGCTTGGCTTGAGCTCCCCATCTATCCATGGACACTCATTGCATTACACCATAACATCTGGATTATTGCTTGTAATGTCCCTGGGAAATATCCACTTCCCATCAAAGCCTTTATCTATCTCGCTTGTACTTTGAACATTTTAGTATTTAACATAGTCATGTTTGATGTGATGTACTCGCTGCTTTAGGAGCAAGGATTTTCCCTCCCCCTCCTGCTCCTTCCTCGGAGGAGGAAGAGGTATTTGATGTTAGTTCACAAAAAAAAATTTAAAAAAATAAAAAACAGATGAAGTTTATTATCCACGTTACAATTTCTTTTAAAAACAAAGCATCCAGCTCTCTTCAAAGCTTCCAGGCTGAACACAAAAGACAGTTGTTATCACTCAGTTTTCAAATCAAACTTGGATTCTTTTCTTCTTTTCATCCAGGCCAGTATTTCAGGGAGTCACTAAGCGTTGGGGACCTTCCTACCCCAGCTCTACAGCACACATAACCCCACCCTTGTAGCTGCTGACTTGACAGTTCAAAGGACTCTTGGGAGGTACCCAAACCAGCCTGGATCCCACACAGCCCCTGGAAAAATCAGCACCTGCACTCAATATTACTGAAACACATTGCAATGCACCAACCTTGACCTCCCAAAACAGGTGGCCCCAAGCAAAGAGCCTCGTGCACCCCCTTCTCTGGCTGTGCAGCTGCTCTGGGCTCCTCTCAGAAGAGGGGTGTGCTGGTCTCCAGCTAACAGGACCTGCATGAGATCCAGCATCACTTGAGAGCATCCCACTGCAGAGTGGAGCCAAGATGTTTGCAACTGGTTCAGGGCACAGTGCTGACCTGCAGCAGCTCCACACAGGCTCCACGACTCCCCTCCAGCTCCCCACCTCCCCCAGTCCAGCCCTGCCACTGGCACAGGGCTCTCTCCAAACTGAGCATGGGAAGGCTGCTTGTCTCACACCCCTGCAAGACACAGCACATGAGGAATGCTTTGGATTTCCTGGACATGCCCAGGTCGCCCCCACAGAGTCTGCTCAGCAGGTCTGGCACATTTCCTGTGCCTCGTAGCACCAAAGAGCCCCTCTGTGCTTGCTCTGTGGCCACCTCTCCAGGCTCCCCAGGTATTTGGCAGGCTGTTCCTCTGACCACCCTGATGGAAATCCCAGTGAAACAGGCAGTGTCTCAGATTCCACTCACAGTTTCTGGAAGGAAGCACGTCTGGGGAAAATCAGATGTGTGGTAGACCCACAGACCCAGGCCTTCAATGAGTCAACTTTAGTGCTGCCTAGGGAAGTCTGCACTATGGAAAATGCCTCCCAGGTGACAAGAAAATGATATTGCCTTATTTATTTTAGACTTACCTCCTCTCTGATACCCCACACCTACTCATTTCAAACTGATTTACACAGAGCTAATTGATTCAACTTCACAGCCTCCCTCTGAGTTGGCAAAACTACCGCAGAGCAGAGCACAGAGGACTACAGCCCTTAGTCCAACAGAGTTACATGGGCAAAACAAGCACTGAAAAAAACCACTCCAAACACTCTTCCTTGCCACCAGCCAGCCTCCTAACCTGCCTTCACAATGAGACCAGAAAAACCAAAGCCCTGGTCCCAAACTGGCCAGGAAATGAGGACACAACTGCTTAATCAGTGACAATTTTGAAGTGTTTTATCTATTCAGCTCTCCCTTTTGCTGTTACCTCCCAGGCTACTGATGCCTCCACACTTGGGTACTGCAGCTCCTGCCCAGCTGAACCTGAGCCCTTTCCAGCTGGGCTCCCACACTGGATGCCAGGTCCTTCAGGCCTCTCCTGCTATATTTTCCTGTAAGCTCTCTGCTCACACTCTGGCTACATCCCAGACCCAAGCAAAGGTGCCTTGCCGAGGTACAGAAAAGTTGGCTGGAGCTGGGATCAGGCTACAGGGCTGGAAATTAGGAAGCACATGATTTATGATGGAAGCTGGCACACATCCCAAGCACAAGGCATTGGACAAGCTTGCTTATTCCTTCCCCTCATCGTTTCTGAAATCAAGGTAGACTTGAGACCAAAATTTGAGGGTTGTCTCGAGACAAGCTAGAGCTCTGATTTTGGCTGGGCTCTTTGTGCAAATAAGCAGTAACACCATAAAGGTCACCTTTATGAGCAGTTCACTGCTGTAAAATGGATAAAAACTGGAACTAAAGACATCCCTCAAATAGGCCAGCCAGGAAAAAAAAAGAAACAGCAACAAAAAACCCCCAGATAATAAACACTAAAATATCCAGAGATCCTTATTCCTTAGAAGTAACTAGATGCTTTTTAAGTTTAGGAAACCATGTCGACTGGAGATTTTGGGATTGCAACTCATCAAATAAGTAAAGAGTAATCTCTGAAGCAAAAGTATGGCCTGGTCATAGAGCAGGATCCTGCCACAAAAGGACCAGAAGATGGTTCTTCTCCCAACTGCTTAGAAAGGGAGAAAAATTTGCCCAAAAAACATCCCATAGCTCTGCACAGAAAAAGTAAAAATCAGTGTTCACATCGCCACTCTCAAAATCTTGTTCCTGGTTTCAAAATTAATATAAAAGTTTCTCACATCAACTTTCAATTTTTTATCACATTCTGGTTCTGGTTTAAAAAAGAAGAATGAGCAGGTGGGCTTTATTCTGCCTTCACAGAGCCAAATACAGGAGCTGAACAAGAATGACAGAGCTTTGGAGGGGAAACAACCAGCTCATTGACCCAGCTTCACAAAATCCTTTAGGAGCTCCAGTCTCCCTGATAACTCCATTTGTCCATAATCTCCCTCTATAGGCACCCAGCAAATCCCCTCTGGTGCATCAGGGCTGCTTTCAAATCTGTCTCTTTTCCTGACACACACATACATGCCCCAAGTTCAAACTTGTTTTTGAAGCAATAAAGAGATGCAGAAAAATTGTAAATTTAAATGACACGGCGAGGTGGCCAAGTGTGAAGTGAGCCCATCTCTCCCATCCTTCATTTAAAAGGATGAGACAGGACAACAGAAAGCCTGCTGCAATCCCTGTGAAGAGGTCAGCGTCAAAACTGGGCCACGTAATTTGCCATTTGAGAAAACAACAACACACAAATAGGAGGACTCTTCAGACCTCTCCTCATTAGGCAGAGAAACCATTTCTGCAAGAGGCAGTTTCCCCTTGGGAAAGAGGAGAGGGCAGTGGAAAGGCAAGTGAACCAACACGAGATTGGCACCACGACGTGTGACCCCGTGGCGAGCGAGTCCCCGCGCTCCGCGCTGCCCACAGGGGATTGGGGGAGAGAGCCAAACACAACGAGGCAGACAAAAATGAAACCTAACAGCCCACACAGGAGCACACACAAAAAAAAAAGATATGAGAGTGAGGGATTTTCCCCTGCCAAGAGATGCTTGAGGAGCCCTTGGGTCTGGTCAGCCTTTCAGCCAATTTATTCAATCAGCTTAAGCTATCAAGGTGGCAATTCCGTCGCTTTTGTTTCAGGACTGAACTGCTGCAGGTCAACCCACCCCAAGAAGACCTGCTTATCTGCCTCCTGGATGTTCAACACTTAAAGGTTATTCAGCTGTACAAATGCTGGAAAGAGCGTGCAGGGCACTCAGGGTGAGACTCAAGCCACCCGGGACAAACAAGGGTAGTGAGCATCAGCATGCTGGGCTCCAGCAGAGAGCTACCAACTCCCTCTGTGCCCCAGAAAGGAAAGCAGAACAGAGGGGAGAGCATGTCAATACACAGACATGAGTGAATATATTAATGCTGCCTAACAGCATCCTCTTCCCTTTGCAATGTCACCCTCCATGAGGAAAAGTAGAAAGCCACACTCTTGAAAACAGCTCCCACGGAGGACAATGCTGTTCTCAGCTCCCATGAAAAATGAGGGATCTGAATGTGCTGCCCATGTCTGGGGAATCTGCCCAAATATGCAATGATTCCCTTCCAGCAGCAGTGAAAAATATACACTGTGTAATAATCAAGAGACACCTAAATCATGCAGTTCAACAGCTCTTGCTCCAAAATGATTTAAAAGACCATACTGAGTTGCTGGAATCCTTCCTGCATACTCCCTGTAATGACCATGAGGCTACTGGAGCTGGACTGGAGATCTTGTACTGGCACTGTTTTTGCTGCTGTCTGAAATGCAGCTCTTTCTCCAAAAAGCAAGGGAGCTCAGAGAACACACATGAAGAGAGCACAGTACCCACAACAGCCCACGTGAGCCCTGCTGCCTGTCTGACATGGAGCTGCAACAGGTACCAATGCCATCAACATTTGGGGTAAATTTGGGAAGTCAGCAAGAATCCCGTGATTAATGTGAAAAGACTCATTTAGGACACTGATGTGCCAAATCTTCATTAAGACAACATAAAATGGTCAAATTAGAGGATAATCAGATTTCTTTCATGTAGGCAATACAGATTAAAAAACAGCTGTGAAAGTTATATTCATTTTGTCCATCCTTAAAATAAGTCATTTTCCCTGTATTTATAGAAGAGGAAAAGCTAAATATTACAATAGGGGTCAGCTGCAGTTCAGCACATTAAAAAAAAAAATCCCAGGAAACTATTTCAAATAGAAAACTTTTATTTGCCTAAACCTGGAGAGAGGAAATTTAGATGTTGCTCAAATGGAAAGTATACTGTGTTTTCCTCCTGCAACACCCAACCAGAGTCAGCTCAGGAGCCAAAAACCAGACAAGCTTGTGTATCCATTACAGAGCTCTCTCCATTTCCCCTGCACTCCTTATTCCTGTATCTTTATCTCGTCCAGCAGCATTGTTTTCTACCCCATCATACTCTCTGGCTATTCTTCCATAACCTCTTGTGCCTTCCCTAGACACCTATATTCCCCATGCACACAATTTTTCTTCCCAGCCTTTATGTTCTGCCACAAACTGCTAGTACTGCTTCCACAGAGCAGAGTTTCCTAACTAAAGATGGTTATTGATGTACAGTACTAGTGTTTTAGTGCAGTAGCAGAATCAATAAAGCAGGAAATACTGCTTTGTCAGATTTTTTCCAGCGCATGCTGGGAAATATTTTTTACTGCCTTTGGATGGTCACAGAGGTTTTCTTTAGAGATCACACTGGAGCATGAACTGTGTCTTCCCTAGGAAGAGCTGAAGCTCTCCTACCCTCTAGTGACTGGAACAGAACAGAGCACAGGGTTGAAGATTTTTTCCTTTTAAACAATACTTTCAGTCTCCTAAATCAGCACCACGCTTCAGCATCTCTTAATTTTATTTTGAAAGGTGGTAAGACACAAGACAGAGTCTTGAGACCTGAAAGACTGACAGCTAAAGATCCAGAAACACATATGTAAAAAAATTTTGCAAAATGCAATGAGATATTACGTAAAAGCAAAAAGAAAAACCAAACAAAAAATCCCTAAACAAATTGAAAAAAAAAACCACCCCAAAGCTTCCAGTAATAGCAACCAAAAGAGGATTTTGACTATTCTGAAGAAAAAGAACCTGAGTTTAAAAACCCAACTCCCTTTCCCAGGTCCCAAAGCCAACCAGCATCCAGAGACAGCTGTATGAGAAAGATGGGGATCAAGCAACGCTGACCAAGCCAGGGCACAGTAATTTCCAGAGTTTTAGTTAAAAACTGAAGTGATAAGCTCTTCAGTTATTCCATCACTGTCTATCATGTGGCATTCAGGCATTCCTGGCAGCTCTCTGCTCCAAGCACTGCAAAATCCCTGCAATCAGAGCTCCAAAGGCTGTACTTTGCACTTCTTCTATTGACAAAAACATTCTTGCTGGCACAATACCTGAGATGGTTGGCTCCTCTACAGAGCACACCACAGTTGTAATGAATAAAACAAGAGGAGGTTAATGATTCAATTTATTTAGGCACAAACCGATAGTTACAGAGGGAAAATATCATGAGAGCACACTCATCTTAAGAGCCAAATTCTGCTTTTCAGAGACTGAGACTGTACAGCTCTCAAGCTGGGTACTGGGGCTTGCAGTGTCTGTATCATTGTTATTTACTCAATAGCAAATTAAAGCTTTACAGAACACATAAAAAGCCGCAGTCTGCTTCCTGAACAAGTTAAAATCTAATGCAAAAATGATACAGGAATATAAAAGTAATGGAAGCCTGCAGGGATCCTACAGGAGACCAAGGGAAGCAAGCTACACAGACATGTGGCAACACACAAATCTTGGAAATCCTGTTACAATGGAGGTAATGAAAACTCCCTGCTCAGCCTCCATCCCAAGAACAAAAGGAATTTCAAAACCCACAGGGGCAACTAGAAGAAATACTGCCTCAGAAAATTCCACCCATGGTGAGAGGCAGCCCCAAAGACAGACGGGGATCCAGGAGAGCCTCGTTCAACTCCTGCACCAACCACCATCTGTGCCTTCTGAAACAACTCAAACCCTCCACAGCTCCTCTCATGTTGGTTGAATTTACACCCCTTTCTTTTGTACAGGAAGTTTTTCTCTCTTTCTACAGCTCTTTGTGAATTGGGTCTTACGTTCACTTGCCACTAGATACTACCACGGCACCTACAATTAGAAAACAACAGCAGTTTCCCATCACGATGAATAGAAAAATCAAGAAAGCAAAGGTTACAACAGCCATCACATTGTGACAGGTTGCCTCTACACTTCTAAGTTTTCTTTGTTTAGACTGTTTCAGAGGAGGGCACAGATTTTGGGAGGGGACCTTCATTTTCTTTAAGTAAAAAAAAAAAAAAAAAAGCATTACCTTGGATGAAGTTCTTTTCTTTCGACTTGACCATCTCTGTTCATGAGTCCCCATTTATTGTACCAAAGACATTCCAGGGAAAGGAAACAGGTAAGAAGTAAAATGGGGAAAGTGTTTAGTAAAATAATTCAAACAGAAGCTTGTCAAATGAGTTAGAAAATCCTATTACAAAATAGAGGGCTAAATCTACAACTACATCTCCATCTACTTTCCCTGCTTCATGGAACATAACAATCAACAAACTCAAAATACCTGCATTGCACCAAAAAAAAAGAGGCAATAAAAGAAAAGTAATTGAGAATAAAAAGTGGAGGGACCCAGAGCCATTAGTAAGAAACATGGCTTATACTTTTGGTGCCATCTGGTTCTACAGTAAGCTAATTTAAAAAGGGGGAAAAAAATCATCTTGCTGTTAAGTGCTAATGTGGACAGAGCTATTTCACTGTTCTGACTCCTTTGGAAATGGCTGAGCAATCTGCATTTGAAATATGAGGGCTTAAAACATTGTCTTTTAAAAAAATTACAGTGTGCACCAGCTCTTCTATCATCTACACTCTGAATGTTAACTAAGCACCCAAGAGTACCAAAAGCTGCTATTTAAACCAATAAGCTTTGTTTCACTGGCTAGGTCCACTTTAGCCAAGGCCTTAATAAAAATCCTAGAATTCCTGAGGTTCTCCTGACTAAACTGACTTTTTTGCTAAAGTAACTTTACATTTTTGCTTCACCCCTTCCTGCAATTCAGTAACACATGCCAACAATGCTGATTGTACAAGTGAGAGGGGAGTTCACATTCCAGATAAAACCCATCTCATATTATAGACATATAAATACACCATTATTTTAAATATTGTGATTAAGCTTTCAAATAATCACACAGTGAGGTAAAATTAACTCTATCATTACCTTGCTATTAATTAAGGCTTCACAATTCTCAAAAAGGCATCTATTTGAAAAATAATAACGAACAGCAGATATTCCACATTAGCTTCTTCTCATTTTGCTTTCCAGCCCCTTGAAACATTTATGTTTCTATAAATAATCCCATTCAGGCTGGAATTCCATACCTATAATTCACTAAAGTGCTGTAAACAGCAAGTTTCATACCCGGCTTTGCAGAAAACTTGTAGAAATATTTTCTCTTAATATGTATTACACATATTTAAAACTAGGTCGGGTTTTTAAGACAGTCCAAGTAGCTGCCTGATCTTGGGCATTCTCCACCCCTTGCTGCTCAGGAGCAGGATTAGTTCACCAATATTTGTGTGCTGTACACACTGTATAAAACACTAGGAGAAAACTTTAAAAATAGATGCAAAAAATTAAAAAAACTATCAGCCTGAAATTAAAAAAACTATCAGCTTCAGTTATGGTGTTCCCAGTCTCTGACCAGCTTCTCTGCATTTCTGACATTACTTATCACCACAAATCACCACATTTCTGCATCAGGAGCCAAGTTCAATTAACTCAGTGAAGAAACTGACAGTGGGAAAATCAGGGTTTTACAAGCAACCTCCTCCTCTCAGCCTGGTGCTCCTCCACACGACTGGGGCAGTTTAAGTCTTAAAATTCATGCTCAATTTTTAGCTTTCACATGGATAAGTTTTTTTCATTGTTGTTAAAAAAAAAAAAAGGAAATATAACAATATAACAGCTTTTCTTCAGCCTGTCCATTGCAGTGCTGGGCACATACCCAGAGTACAGAGAGCACTGCCACAGTGCACATCACAGTGACAAGACAGAAGCACCCAGCTACAAATGTCTACACAACTTTAACCCAGCTAAATACAAGGATTTTTTTTTTAAGTTATGCTCTATCTCGATTTCAATATTGAGTCTCAGAGGATGAAAATAAAGGTGGCATTTCCCAGTAAATCAGATTATGCCAGCTCTTCTTTTCTCCCCCCTACAAATTCCAGCTATAAATTTGATTTCCTAAGCCACTTACATTTCTCTTGAAGTCTCCTTGCTTGACTGCTAGACTCAAGTTTAATACAATCACTCCCATGTCATCTTCTAAACTGTTGGGATCTTCCAGTTTTAAAACCTGTTCAGTAGTTCTACAAGGCAACAACAAAAAAAAGAAAAACAAAGAAGTTGTGCATTTATTGACTCCAGTTAACTCGAGTTGATTATTAAAGGTCAGGCTGAGCTGTGCAAATTTCAGCTTCTTGTCTGAAATTCCCAATATTGAGTTTAAATGTTAAAATGGGAAATCTGGAGAGTTCTTTCTTGGTTCTGACAAAACACCCCTCTTTTAATAATGCAGCACAGTGTTCCTATAGCACTACTCACTACTCATAACTCTCCATATGCAGGTACACACTGAATTAAGTTACTACTACCTCCACTACACAGAAGAGTGACAGGGAAACTCATCCAAGTGAATCTTCTAATATGAATGGTTTGTATTTGACTCCAGAGATATTTACTCTGCCTGCTTTTAATCCCCCTCCATGACTCTGTTCCCTTGCTGAAAACCGGAATGCTGGTATTTACCTGGTGGCACTATCTCATGGACAAATTAACATTTCTAGAAATTCAGATACAACAGCCACGGGAGCTACAACACCCCCTGCACAGGAAAAATTCATTCCCCCCAAAAAAAGTCATCACACAGCAAGGGAGTATAAAAGAAACAACTAAAACTTGAATTCTTGGCTTCCAGCTCCACACTGAGCCCAAGCAGCAGCAGCAGCAGCAGACAAAAGGCACAGGGCTTGCCTCGGCACTAAATCAGGGCCAGATGCAGCTGCTGCAGGCAGGGATGGATGAGGGGGAGGCTGGAAAAGGGGCGCTGGCAGCTGGGAAAAACCTCCTCAGCCCCAGAGAAAGGCACCCTGTGAGACTGAGGACAGGTCCCAAATCTTCTCCCCCTCTTCCTTCTTCCACCTCCACAAATTGTCCTGGCGCAGCTCTCCCTAAACAATGCTGCACAGAGAAATTCTTAGTGCCAGAACTGGGCTCTGTCCAGGTTGGATTTGAATCCAGTGCATAACGCCGGATAAAAACATGTGCAGAAGATTTCTCTCAAGTGATTTCTCTTGAAATCCCCACTATTCTATCAACATACGTTTCCACAAATAGAAAAATTTCAAGCCAGAAAAAAAGCATTTCACCACTTCCCTCTGTTTCTCAATTAAGCTCCATTAATAACCTTTAATTAAATGAACTGTTACCTATTGAGTTCAAGTTCAGTGAGTGCCACAGATGCCGAACCCATGAAGTCTGAAGAGGTTAAATCACGATCGTACACCTGGTGGCAAAATAAGACAAATATTTCCAATTTTCACATCATAAGCCAGTTTTATCCCAGGCGATGAAAGAACAGATATTTTAAGCCCTTTCAGTTCAATTTTGTATTTGAAAGATCAAAGCTTAGATATAATTCAGGGATCACTTTCCATCTCCCTGCTTTAATTTGTATTTTTAGCTAAATATTTAACCAGCATTTTGAAAGTATCTTCTTAATATTATGTAAACAGAGACATGTGTGCTGCTATGGATTGTGCCTGCTCCTTTATACTCCACACGACAGCATAATGAAACGCTGCACAAAAATCAGGTACTTGTGCTTACAGATGTTTTAGCAATTAGTGCTCACAACTGGTAGCTTGTGGTTCTGGTAACTGCAACGTTACTCATAACCAGAAAAGGCTTTGCTACTTGTCACGGCTGCATCCCAGGTAATAATTCTGTGCAGCCCAGCCAAATTGCACTCCTAAAACGTGCTTCTGAAACTGCCCTTGGTTTCCCTGAGTTTGCACAAGCACGGGGGAAAAGAGGGAGGGAGAGAGAGAGAGAGCAGAATTCAGCTCCACGGCTTTAAACAGATCCAGTCAAGGAGTTTTATTTCAAACTTGGGTTTTTGCAGATGGAAAGCAAAACATACAAGTAAAATCTGGGAAAGACATATGTGCATTTTAATTTGAAATTGCTGAAGCTCTTAAACCGGATTGTGTTTTATGCCGTGCCGCTACAGCGAATAAAAATCAATATGTTTCTAAAGTTGAAAATAATTGCTTAAAAAAATATTGGGCAGTCTTTCAAAAATCTGAGACCAAAACTTACCTTGATCCAGAGGTTTTGATCGAGGGTCTGTATGGGCAGCACAACAGTTTCATCCCAAACTGGGTTGAGGTTCTTGTAGACTACCTTACTTTTGTAAAGAGTTTTGCCATTTAATTTAAACTTCACGTACGGGTCACTCGTACCTGTGATAATTAATTAAAAAATAGATTAGCTTCAGCGCTGTATGCAACTCCGCAACCTTAAATTATATTTTCATAAAATAATTAAAAACAGTTAATTGTAATTACAGATACATGTATATATTTAATTACCTATATAAAAATTGCTCATTCATACAGGAAACCTACAGACAGAACCAGAAAGTTGCCTGAAAGCAGGCAACAAAAAAATCTTCTTTGTTTGCTTGATCTCTGTTGTTTTATTCTTAAGAATATTAATTGTTGTTTAACAACTCTGTTAAAATTTTAATTTGGTAAAAGAGCAAACAGAAGCAGCACTGAAGCACTATTTACAGGCCAACTAATGACACAGCAGAAGAGAGAAAATGTGATCCTGTGACTAGGAATATATTCAAAGGACCCAAACTCCAAAGCATCGTAACTGGGATAGGAGCTCCAAGGAAACCAGTAACAATAGCTAAAATACCCGTCAGGATTTCATCACTGGTGTCACTTTGCCAATTTACTTAAAACCCAATTTGAGGTTTCAGTGAAAAAAACCAGCAATGTTATTCATCAGCTCAGGATAAAAAGCACACAGAGAACAGACTCTGTAAAAACAAGCACTGTCCAGGTAACACATTTTTTAATCCAAGTGGCACAATTTGCCAGGGCAATAATGTCCCCTGTTTTTATGGAGCAGATGTCCATGGACAGAGCGTGAGGCTCGTGCCACTCGGCAGCAATAGACAGACTTGCATCTGTCAAAGGAAAACAGAAGAGGGAATCAACTTTTTATTATTGTTATTAAACTGGTGGCATCTGCACCAACACCAACCACTGTGCAGGACACCGGGTAAGAGGGGGAACAAGGCACAGGGAGGATTTAACTAGAGGATGGTTGATTTAGTTATTCCTACAGACTTTGCAAAAAAAATCTTCACAGGCTGCAAATAAAGGGGAAAATCAAACTGAGATGTAGCAGCATCTACAATTAACTGAGCCTAGGTGCCATTCATCTGTCATATCCAGTATTTTCTGTATTGTACGTGATAGTTGGAATTCAACTTCCCTCCTCAATTTTATTAGAAGAGTAACAGCTAAGGTGGTGGTCCCGGCTGGCCCCAGCCTGCAGCGAGGGCTGCTGGAGGAAAAGACTGATTTCTACAGCAGACTTCAGAGTCAGAAATAATCTGAACCTGTCCTCCCTGGTTCCCACTGGCCTGACAAACACATGGCAGTCCAGGATAACCCAGCCTAAGAGCAATACTCAGTCTTGCCAATGATTTGGTGCCCCTGCGAGGATGTGAAAAATCCATATTTAAATATCCAAAGCTCTCATCAGTGTTACATGAAGACAGACTTGAACACAAGAAAAAACAATTATGTGTAAGCATCTATTTGGAATTATGCAGCACTGTAAAGAACTGTGCTCTAGTGAGACAGACATATTTCTAAGAATTAGAGGAAGTTTTTATTCTGCTTTAATTTCAAAAGGGAAGAGTTGTACAACCTGGTGCATAAAGTGTGTTTCACTCCCAGAAGGAAAATATCAGTTGGCTTTCAAATACTGTCCACAGCTGAACCTTTTTCTGAATAATAATTGTTGGGAAAAAAAAATCACTTTTTTTTTTTTTTGGTTAAAAAAAAGCTGCAGACATCTTAAATAGAATTTTCTTTTTCTTCTCCTCTAAGAGAGACTAATAATAAGGGCCTGATGGAAAGCCAGGAAAGTCAGAGGGCAGCTTCTCATTGTTCCCAGTGGGTTAGGACTAGACCTTTCCCTAAAAATTTCTCAGAACGATGATTATACTCTTATACAAAGCATCGAGCTTAAAACCAGCACAATGTCCAGGAGTGGGAACACACAGATAGATCACAGCCCCACAGCGTGGGGAGGGGGGCAGCAGACCTCAGAAGATGCAGAATTAAAAAATAACAGCACTGAGCTCTTTGGTGTCACTTCAAAAAGGTTTTAAAAGGCAGAAAAAAAGGCAAAAAATCCCCTGACTTTTATTTACAGGGCAAGCTGGACAAAGCTGCATAATTAAAAGTAAGAATAATAATAATGTCCACAACCTATTCTGTGCATGAAATAGCAACTGGCCAAGACAAGGAAAGCAACTGATGAAATGAAAGCACGAAGAGACGATGGAGGCAGGTGGTTTATGGCCATAACTCATCTGCTTTTGGCACAGAAAACCCATGAAAAAGGACAAAACCTGAAAAGAGAGAGAGAAAAATAGGAGATAAAGAATAAAAGCAAACAGCCAGCAAGTTCAATACCAACAAGCAGAAAACTCCAAGCCCTTTCTCTGAGGATGGGAAGCAAGAAGACTATAGCTAAGTAAGCCTCCCAATTGCATTATTGCTCTGAAAAGCTTTCCAGGTTGTTATACAGCAAAGGAAAATAAAAGGTGGGGGGGAGAGAAGGGCTGCCCAGCACTGCTCATGCAAGCCAGGCTTTAGCAATCATTCTCACGTGTTTATTTTTAATAAACTCTTCCTTTATATTTACATATAGAAACACACATATATAAAAGGAATTTATGTAAAAGGAATATATATATATATATAAAAAATGAATATATAAAAAAGGAAAATATATTTTGTTTACGTAAAAATACATATTGTACATTAAAAAAAAAAAAGTGAGGGAGGTGGAAGCTATAATAAAAAGAGGCCTTTAATTAAATAAGATTGCCACTCTGGGATCAGGCCTTCATGCTTGTCAGCTTACTCTCAAAATAAACATCTCAAAGCGGGGCCTCAGTGGTGTCACTTACTCCAGCAAGGCAGCCTGGGTAATCCCTCGCTATCTTGACAGCTCCATAATGTTCCAGCGGCTTCACGGGTGAGCGGCGGCACCCGCGCCGCGGAAAATATTAATGCGGAGAATTAACGGCCAGAGAGAGGGGGACGGCGGCTTACAAAAGCCAAACAAGGCACAGGTGTCAAGTTAGCACCGGTGTTAATTGTGAGGGAAAATAATTGTGGTGGGGAGCCCTGTGGTGCTCGCCTGTCGGGCTGTCACGGGGGTGACATCTCAACTAGGCGGGCGAGGGACGGGGCGGCGCGGCCGCTGCGGCCTACAAACGGCCACCAGCAGCTGGATTGTCACCTGGGTGGGGAGACACAGAGCACCTGGGCAGTGGTGGTGGTGGTCACTGGGGTGGAACTGGGTGGCTGGTTGGATGCCAGGATGGATGTGGCAGCATGGTCCCCAGGGCCTACCCCTGGTGGGTCCCAAGCGGCACCAGAGCGCAGCTGCCACATCCTACAAATGGCAGAATGGCAGCTCTGTGCCACCCAGCAGCTGGATTGTCACCTGGGTGGGGGGACACAGCACCTGGAGGGTGGTGGTGGTCACTGCGGTGAAGCTGGTGGAGAAATGTCAGGGGTGGATGTGGCAGCACGGGACCAACCAGCGGCAGGCCCTGAGGGCCAAGCGGCACGGGAGCGTGGCTGCTGCCTCCTACAAATGATGGGATGGCAGCTTTATGCCACCCAGCAGCTGGATTGTCACCTGGGTGGGGGGACACAGAGCACCTGGGCGGTGGTGGTGGTCACTGGGGTGGAACTGGGTGGCTGGTTGGATGCCAGGATGGATGTGGCAGCATGGTCCCCAGGGCCTACCCCGGTGGGTCCCAAGCGGCACCAGAGCGCAGCTGCCACATCCAACAAATGGCAGAATGGCAGCTCTGTGCCACCCAGCAGCTGGGCTGTCACCTGGGTGAGGGGGACACAGAGGACCTGGAGGGTGGTGGTGGTCACTGGGGTGAAGCTGGTGGAGAAATGTCAGGGGTGGATGTGGCAGCACGGCCCCCAGGGCCTGCCCCAGGTCAGTCCCAAGATGCTGACGTACGTCTCTGCTCACTGTCTGGTTCTGGTTTCCTTTAAGACACCCCAGATTGCATCCAGGTGACCAAAATATTTGACAGGGAATGAGAAATAAGCCACGTGGGCAAGCCTCTCCTGATGGGATGAACAGCACAGACTGCAAATTACTGACTGCATTTGAATTCAGGGCTTGAAGCCTTCTGGATTCAAGCTCAGAAAGATGTCTGGGTCTATTAAAAGCTATTTATAAGAGACAATCTACAATCTAGGCAGAAAAACATAACTTTTTTTGAAAAGAGCCTGGTGATGTTAGAGATGAACCAGTCTAAAAAAAGGGGTTTTTGTTTATAATCTTCTTTTAACTGTGACAGAAATGGATAATTTACTGAAAAAGCCAGACCAATTAAAAAAAAAAAAAAAAAGCATTTTAGCATCCATTTCCTAGGGAAGGCAACTGAATCAACAACTTTTAAGCACGTGCATGCAGGCTCTTCTGAAAGCAAGGTCTCACTCACATCAGCTGTAGCAGTATCAACAGGGGAATGGATTATTGTTAATGCCAGTGGAGAATTTTGCCCCCAAAAAATATCTCCATGGTGGGAAAAGTAAGGTTCTTTGAGGTGAATTTGTATATTGTACAGTGAAACAAGTAGGTTCTCACACAATAAAATATATGGACAAAATACATATAAAAATCCATGATAATCTACTTCTCAGCCTAAAGCAAACCAAATAAAGGGTAAAAAGGAAAGCTGACCTCTTAAAAAAAAAAAAAAATCATTCATCATCTAGGCCTCTTCCCCCATGAGAGAAAAAACACTCATCTCAACAGTGATGCTCCCTGGAATTCCTTTGCATAATACAAATATAATTTCTATTTTCTTTTTTCTTCCACTAATACTAAAAAGCAATGAGTGCAGGCAGACCAGACATCACCTAAAACCTGAGAAATTTTCAGTGAGCAAAAAGTTGTTGGGACAGAGCAGCAGGAGAGGGTTTAGTAGCCCAAGAAACTAAACTGTTAAAGGTGTTTTTAAATGGATACTGCTGCCCTCTAGCAGCTACCGAGAGTTGCATCACATCCACTGCTTCAAAACGAGGGAAAAAAAAAACCCCACAAACCCAGAAGACCCAATATAATTTCAAGCCACACACTGTTTTATGAGAGCAAACTTACTGGAAAT